GTTGCAGGCAGTCACAGGCCACTGCTCAGCTATGTCTGGGGTCAGGAGAAGCACATACCTTTCCACCAGGCCTGAGATCATCTGTACACAGAAAGGTTCTCACCCAGCGGTGGTTTTCCCCATCAGCCAACGTGGGGTGCTGTCTGAGCACTTTTCACATTGCAGTGGGAGTGGGAGGTGGAAGATGCTGAGGCCAGGTAAGCTACTAAGCACCCCTTGTGACAGGGTGGCACCCGCGGCCAGGAATCAACACAGCCCCAGCCTCAACAGTGCTGGGCCAAGAACCCCTGTTTCAGAAGGAAAGCACAGCAAAATAAACCAACATTGTTTCTTCTGTCAGCACCCTTTGGTAGCTGCAAGGGATTCGTTCCGTGTTGTCCCATCTCCAGCACACACAGAACCCAGAACCCACGGGTGCCCAAATCCCTTTTAGAAAATGGCAGAGTCTGCAAGTCCACATCCTCCAAGATATATTGCATCATCTCAAAGTCCTTTGTTATGCAAGGTAAATACTGTTTCAGTGATTGTGTGGTGCTGTTTGTTTGTTTTTGTTTTTTTGGTACCAGGGATTGAACTCCGGTCCTCGCGCTCGCTGGCAGGGCAGGCCACCAAACCGCTGAGCTAAATCCCGGCCCTGTGTGTGTGGTGCTGTTTAGGGGTAATGAGAAGGGAAGATGATTCAGATGTGGTTTCTTTCTTCAGAATACATTGTTTGCAGTGGTTGAGGCCATGGATGAGAAAGCAGTGGGTAAGGAGACCCGACTGTACACAGAAGAACCTACAGATACCACATACATTCAAACTGAAGGCTCAAGTTACATATCCAGTGCACTGAGAACCCAGGATAGGCTGGGTATGTGGGAAGGGCTTTCCTAATCTTCTTACTGTTCCGTGGTCTTTGCTGACGGACTGCAGCCAAACGTGGAAGGCATCTTTCAGCTTTCAGAACCAGCCTTCCCCGGGCCCTCCCTCTCCCTCTCCCTCTCCCGTCCTCTCCTTTCCCTACCATTCCTTTGTCCATTTAGCACAGCTTCTGTGGTGATGAAAAATTCTCTGCGAGCACTTTCCAAGGTGGTACTTGAGTGCTGCACTTGAGTGTGGCTGGTGTACCTGTGGAACTGATTTTTAATTAAATAAATTGTGAAAAATTATAGCTTTATATATAAATTGTGGTAATTAAACTGCAATAGGTACGCGTGACTGCTGGGTGCCATCTCAGACTGCAGGTCTAAGGCGCACTAGCCGCTCTAGGTTGAGCCGCTTCTCGGGTCTAACGTCAGGTCCGGATTGAAGTCATTGTGATTGCTTCCAGTTTTGCTTTTGAATATTTGTAGCAGGATATTTGTTTCCTATGGGGGAAAGGTTCCCATGTGACTTGACTTCCAAAGAAAAACCTACCAAAAAGAGTATTTTGAACTGGAGAAGACGCTGGATTCATCATCCACGTGCTGTAACAGCTTGTCTCCTGTGTACCAGTTGCTAACAGTGCCTCTCTCCGTCCCAGTCTTCAGTGATTCTATGCGTTCCTTTCTATTAGAGCAGCAAAGCCTGGTCTTAGAGAAAAGACTGATTCTCTCAAGAGCAAGAGATTGTCATTCCAGCAGAGCTAGTGAGGCACAGCATTTCCTTCCTGTTGTTAAGCGCTGCCCTCTTTTAGTCTTTAGTATTCCTCTTTTGCTTTCTCCTCTTTTCCTTCCTTCCCTCCTCACCTGCCTCTTCTCTTCTCCTTTCCACTTTCATCTATCTCTTCACCTATCTTTCTTTCTCTATTTCTTTGATTACAAACTTGCTACTGCCTGACCCATGCTTATTTCTACAATCCTGTGAAAAAGATGCCTGGATATTATTTGGGATTCCATGCATATGCCTAACTGGCTCACAGGAAAAGTAATGTATAACTGTGCCGTATCCCTAATACAGCATCATACAGGACAAGATACATGTCCAGTGTCCAGAGGTGTTGATGTGAGTCATGGGGAAGAAATGCAGGTGGAGGGAAATGGGGAGGCAGCTGGGATGGGCAGGACGCTGCATGCATGCCTGACCCTGCGAGAAAAGAGAGACGGTGAGAAGGCTGGGAAGGAGGAACCTAGAATGCGGCGCTCTTCAGAGAGGCCAGAGGGGACTCCTCCAGTCACAGCTGCCCGTCCGAAGAGCTCCTGTCCTCAGGAATGAGTCAGCATCCTCAGCAGTGCTGTGCTGGCCTTGCCTGGGAGCCGCAGGGTGGAATGGCTTCAGTACAGACAGGCAGGTGGGCGGCTCAGGAGCTGCACGCAGTGTGAGCCCAGCAGTAGCAGGTCTGAGAGGCACGTGCTCATAGCCACGGCGTCTGAACTACTCCCAGCGATGTGAAAACAGACAGGCCCCTTATGCCACTGGCCACATCAGGCCCACAAGGGGTTCTTGTGCGGTCATTTGCACAGGCGACTCCTGGATTCCCACCCACTCCTCTCTCCCTAGGGGGATCACCGACCCTCAACCAAGACAGGTGTCCTCAGTCTCTCTGGTGCTTTTAATATTTCCCTTTGTCTAAGCCATACATTGGCCAAGAAGGCAAAAGCTTTACCTCTCTTGTTGACCACTTGTCATCAGGACCAAGCATGGAATTGGTAAATATTTTGTGGAAATGCAAATGGCCATGCTGAAGTTAAAAAGGATGCATAATACAATCAGCACTCTCAAATTGCTTACGATGTAGGACAAATGAAATATCTAAATTAAAGGGCATTTTGAAAGACTTGAAGTTTCAATTTCTTAAGTCAAGAATTGGCTAGCCAATAGCATGTTAAATTAAAACCACCTAAGCTCATTTTGATAATACATAAGACTAATGTTATGTAGTGTGATCAAACTATAAGTGAATACTTAAATTTTAAAACATTGCAGTAAGGGACACGTGGCCATCATTCCTTCCTCTAAGGCATCCCCCTTGCTTTGAAGATATTTATCCCAATCTTTCTTGTCATCTTCAGAAGCAGCTCTGAAAATCCTCTCTCATGAGTGTCTTTACTAAGTGTGATAGAAAATATGGTGAAAGCTGCTGCCCCTTGCAATCTAACAGCAAGGTGAGCATGTAAACATGTTACGGCATCTTCATTCATCCTGCTCGCTGGATCAGTACAGTGCAACTTCCAGCTCTTTTGCAAAGTCAAAGTGATCATGAAAGGTAGGTGTTTTGGCCAGAATCAGGACATTGAGGCAGCCATGCGAATGCAGCTAATAAACTTCCAGAACTGCTTCAGAAAGTGGCAAGAATGGCAATGCGTTCAAAAGGAGGGGGTGTTATGAAGGGGATTAAAGGCAGTGTATCTAGTACTGCAGCACATTTTTTAAAATTAAGCATTCACTGTACCTTTTGAGCACAGCTCCTAGTGAATGTTCTGTCTTCATGGAAGTCCCTACTCCTGGGAAGAAAGCTGCAGATGATGTCTAGAAAAAGTGTCATTAGTTGACATATTTAAAAATTGGGTCTCCAGGTCATGTTACCAGAATGGGATGAAGTTTGTCTTTGAATTCTCTGTGCCAGGAAGGTTTCTCACAATGAAGCATGTGCCTTAGATGCTGGTGCCATAGCTCAGAGGGTCCTTCCCTGCCCAGTGTGCAGCCCCACAGTCTCAGTTCCTGGTGCCCAGCTGCCCTCCCTCCTGATAAGCCATCCACGTGGATCACCAGGGTTGGCAGAGAGTGAGAGCATTTGGCTGTTCGCCACTTACAGAGGGCACAGCACATTTCGCACATGGTTCTACTCTGTGTGTACTAACTCGCTTCATCCTCTGCCCCATCATGCAGTAGACCGCAGATTAGAAATCTGAGTGCCAGAGACGTTGAGGGACTACTAGCCCAGGTCAGAGCCTGGTGAGTGGTGAGCCAGCAGTTGAGCTCTGCTTGTTCAGCTGAGGGCATCACGGCCACACTGCCTCCTGCTCTCAGGCTACCCTGTCACCTTTGTCCCTCAGCCAGTACGGGGCCTGACCCCAGTTGGCGCGATTAGATCCTTCTGGAAATCCTGATGCAGCCAACAGGAAAAGGGCTATTTCCAGTCAGTCCTGTATATGCCATGGCTATCTCCCAGGACAGCCCACCTCCCAGAGTAGGGCCAGGGGAGGGAGGGACAGAGGGCTGGCAGCGGCATCTGGCTCTGTTCTGACTTAGTGATGTGAGTATTTGCAACGTGCTGTAAGCAGAGAGAACTATGGAATGAGCTACTCTCTTGTATGCACTGTGCAGGTTTAGCATTTGTCAATGTTTCAAAATTCATCCTGCCTTATCCCAAAGAAGTTTCGAAATTCCTTTTTTTTTTCCTCACTGGGATATGTGACTGGAAATCTCAGACATTATTTATTTCCCCATAAGTACTGCAATTGTGTCTCTGGCAGATAAAGAATTTTAAAAGTAACTGCAATGGGGCCAGAGATTTAGCTCAGCGGTTCGGTGGCCTGCCTTGCAAGCGCAAGGACCCGGGTTCAATCCCCGGTACCAAAAACAAACAAACAAACAAAAGTAACTGCAATGCTATAGACATACATAGCAAAATTAGTACTAATCATGTTATCCCAGTGATACTTTCTTAATCACTGAATCTAACCCCACCACAAGCCACTCAATGACCTTTAACATTTTAAGAAAGTTTATGATGAAGTTTTCTGTTACTTGCAACCAAGTGGAGGGCTTTGAATGATTTAGAAGTACAGCCAGCCTTCTTTTTCTAGACTTACTCTGACAGCAGACATTACCATATAAGTAATGAACATACAATCATTACATAAATAAATAACCCTTTACAGCTCCATAGCATTGTATATTTCCAAAATAACTTTGGCACGGGGCCTGTTCACAGTAACTGTGTGAGCAAGGCAGTGGACATCAGCTTCAATTTAGGAGAAAGATTCCTGGAGAGACTCTTCCAATGTCAACAAAAGGGAAATGAAGGGTCACAATCAAAATGCTCATGATGTCATTGGTTTCTGATGATCTCTTCCCATGAGCCTCCATGGGTCCATGGTTGTCATCAGTAGGAGCAGCCAACAGGTACAAGTAAGTCAATAACATGTGTTAATATCAGTGAAGGGGCTGGTAATGTACCAGTGGTAGAACATGTTCCTAGGGTGCAGGAGGCCAGCACCACATCCCCCAAAAACCTCCCCTAAAAGAATAATTCAAGATGTTTGTGTTTCAGAGAAAGTTGAACAATAAAGAAAATCAACCTGATAATCTAGACAGCACTAGTGTACAGCTGCTATTTTTTAAAAAAAATCTGGCAAAAGCTTCCAAAAGAAAATATTATTAGTTCTTTTTAAAAGGTGCTTAACTAGCAGTATTTAGCTTTGATCTAGTGATCCAATGTAAACTCAACCACTTTTCTCAAAGAATCAACGTCCTGAGACTTTAAATGAGACGCTTGGTTTCCAAAGTCTTAGCCAAGAAGTCTGACAGAGTAAACTGTCTTCTGCTCCATTTATCTAATTTGGAAGAATAAAGGCCTGAGCTGACCTGGCAAGATTTGAACCCATGGCTCCAGGAAGTCTAAGTAAGCCCAAGATTATGTTTGGCCACTGATCATTTCCCCTGCAGGGAGAACTCGCAGCTTCAAGCCTGTTTACCTTGACGAAGCTTTTTAAGATAAGGGATTAAAATGCTCCCTAATAGCAGAGATTCAATGCAACAGGTACGTCATTCCAGGACACTTCTCAAGAAGACATTTTTGTTTGGAATCCTCTACACAGGTAGTAGCAAGGAACTTAGCTGTCCTGGTCTAAGAAAGAGAAAAAGGCCAGCAAACAAAGTACTTCTCTATTTTTCTCTGAGAAAAGTCCAGGAGAGAGACAATTTCTCATCAACAAAAGGCTAAGAGGAGTTAATTTTCTTCTCCCTCAGGCTCTGTGGAAAGGTAGTAAGGGGTGAAATCAACTAGAAAGACTTCCCGCTTGTGTTCACAGCCTAGATAACAGCTTCCTGTCTGTCCTTAGGGAGATTACCTCATCGGTTTGAGGAGGCTTGATTAAGAGTGTCTCCATTTACCCACCTAAAATAATAGTCGTTTCATCAGGGATATTGTGGGGCTTAATTGCAGCCTGTGAAGGGTAATGAGATCCTCAGATAAGACCCTGTGTAAACACTACGTGATGTATGTCTGCATATGTGTACTGCACTGCACATGAGGCGCCCACGAGGCCCTGGGACCGCATGACCTGGCACAGTTGTTTTTCTCAGCCTGTCCCCAACCCTCACTAGCCTCTCTGCCTCAGACAGAGCTTAAGTCTTCAGGACTGTCTAATGCCGAGGTCGGCCGCCTGGCATTCCATGTGGTGGCCAAGTTCAGGTCACCTGTCTTCCTACGGTGTTTCCCCAACCTCAGGCCCTCTCATTTTTCTGTTTTGCAGTGGCACTTAACCTGTGCCACTGGAAATGTTTCGAAGTGGGACACTTCCTTGCTAGAAGCAGCTTACTGAAGGCAAAAATCTTCATGTGGCTCTCATTCACAGAAAACTAGTGTTTCCTGATATGTATTACATGTGTGTCTATTAAATTTTATAAAAGTTTGCTTACTGTGTTTCTAAGTTATATACCACCAGTTTATGTGTATCATATCTAGGTGAAATAAGAAAATAATTCAGAATTCTGTATAATTCCCAAACTTTTCATATTTTATGGTTGCAACACGTGATGCTACCATTTTTGACAGCTTTTCAATGACTTATGGCAGGGAAACACAGTGCCCACGACTCAGGCTTAGAGGCAGACCTGCGGGTCAGCTGGACAGTGCTGCTGACTCCAACCAGGCCAGGCATCTGCGGTCAGCCTGGGGAAGGCTGGTCCTGGATGGTCTCAGTCACCTGTCCAGAGGTTGTCTGTCTCTTACCTTAGGGCCATTGACTGATGAGACTGCCTGTTCTTTGTCTTCTATCCAGTTATGCTCGGTTTGTTCCTGTATTCACGTCAAAGTTTCAAGAGAAAGAAAAATTTGCAAGGCTCCTTGAGGCCTAGACTTGGAAGTGAACAATCTAACCTGTGCCGTATTTTAGCAGCCAAGCAGAAGTCCAGTGCTGGTCTAGAGCTGTTGTACTAGTGTCAAAAAGTCCTGCCTTTCTCCTGGTTTGTGCTAAACCATACCCAGGCTGTCACTCACATCCTCACAGTACAAAGAGCTGCTAGAGTTGCAGCCATTACATGCTGCATTGCCGGGTAGAAGCTGGGGGAGGTTAGATAATAGTCCCTGAAGGCATTCGTATCCTAATCTTTAGGACCTGTATGCTTTATGTTAATAGCAAAAGGTACTTAGAGTACCAGTTCTGCTCCGTTGATCGTTGTACCTGTTTTGTTCCAGTACTGTGCTGTTTTGTCCCTGTTGCTTTGTTGCAAAGCTTCACATCAGACACTGCTACTCCTCCTGCTTTGCTCTTATTGTCCAAAATTGCCTTTGCTATTCTGGGTCTCTTTTGGGTCTATGTGAATTTTAGGACTGTGTCTATAGATACGTAAAGTATGCTTTCAGTATTTTGATTGGGTCTGCACGGAATCTGTGTAACAGTTTTGGAAGTACGACCATTTTGACCACATTGGTTCTGCCTATCCAGGGACAGGGGACATCTTTCCATTTTCTGGTGTGCCCTTCGGTGTCTTCCAGAGCGCTGCAGTTCCTTTGTAGAGGACTTTCACTTCTTCTTGCCTGAGAGTGTCTTTTAGGCACAAAAGTGTTTATGATGAAGTTCAAGCTGCCTAGTTTTGCTTTTGCTGCTTGTGCTTTTGTTTCATATCAGAGAATCGGTTGTCTAGATGAAGAAAGATTTAGTCCCATATTTCATTCTGAGAGATGTACAATTTCAACACCTGCATTTAGATCTGTGATCCATTTTGAGTTAATTTTCATATTTTTGCATGTGAATATCAAGTTTCTTGGCAAATATTTATAAAAAATGAACTGTTACTTAATGTCTAAATTATTACCATCATTTCATCCTCTTGGTGTTCTTGCAGAAATCAATTGGCCATGAATGTGGGCACTAATTTCTAGAGTCTCATTTCAATTCCACTGATTTATTTTGGTCACTAGATTTATAGTATATTTTTAGATTGATAGCTATAAGTTCTCCAAACGTTTTCTTCCTTTTTGGGGCTGTTTTAGCTCTTGTAGGTGTAAATATTATAATCATCTGGTCCGTGTCAGTTTTGCTTCTCAGGAGGACTGCCCTGAATCTGGGACTGATTTGGAGAGTAGGGACATATTAACAAGTTAAAGTCATCCAATTCGTAAGCAAGGTTGACTTCCTATGTATTTAGGTCATCTTTAATTACTCACAAAGGTGTTTCATAGTTTTGGAATATAAATTCTCTCCTTTCATTCAGTTTATTTCTTAGTATCTTTCTCTCACTGTATTCTGGAGGAGGAAGGAGAGGAGGGTGAGGGAAAGGAAGGGGATTAAAAAAGAAAGCAAGAAAGATGCCGTAATACGTACATGTAAACATTCCCCAAGACAATTGTAAACCACAGGAACTGCAAACACGCAAAAAAAAGTTTTAATTTTAAATTCAAAGAAAAAAGGAAAGTGAGAAGGTAATGCACAAAATGGGAGGAAATGTTTTCAAACCATGTTTCTGGTTAGTACTCTATACCTACATTATACACAGTCCTCTTACAGCTTAAGGAGAAAATAACAACCCAACTAAACAACAAGATTGGCGTGTGAACAGACATTCCTTCGAGAAGATATGCTCCGTGCCAATACTCTAAGGCACGGACACTCAGTGTCTTCAGACAACAGGAAAAGGCAAATGAAAGCTGTCATATCTTACCCAAAACCCAGGAAGATGGCTATAGTAAAAAATGTATATATTGGTGAGGATGGAGAGGAACCAGAAAACTCATACTGGTATAGATTTTAAAATTTGAAGGCACTTGGAAAAACAGACTGGTAATTTCTCAAGAGTTTAAACTTACAGATACTATATGATCAAAAATTATACTCCAAGAGAATTGAAAGCCTACATCACATAAAAACATGAATACAGAAGGATTGTTCACAGTGGCCCGAAGGAGGAAAAGTCCTTCATTGCTCACCCGCTGGCTGACAGGTACAGGAGAGGTGTTACATCCGCATATGGGGAGCCCATCAAGGGTATCACTGTGGTTTGGATCGAACACGTCCCCAGATTCTCACATGCCCGGGGTTTGGGTCCCGGAGGCTCACCCACCAGTAGGTTCAGTGTCTGTGTGTGCTGCCTGGAGGCGGCACTGGAAGCATGACCTCAAGGAGTGTACGCACCAGCCGGATCCCCTGGTCCTTCGGCCTCCAGCTCCCCTGGGATAAGCAGCTGACCCCTGCTTGCCCTTCCACTGTGCCCTTTCTGTCCTGGACTCAGGTGACAATAGACTGAATCCTCAAGAGCTGCGAGCCAAAATACGCCCCCCACTTTAAGTTGTGGGTGTTGAGTATTTTTTCTTAGCAATGGGAAAGTGACTAATACAAGTATTAAAAAGAAAGAGCGTGCTGCAGCATAGCTAAAAGTTGAAAACATTGCATTAAGTCAAAGAAAAAACCTTGTCAAACATGACCATACATTATATCATTTCATTTACTGGATATGAAATGGTCAGAACAGTCAATGTGTGCAGGTAGACATTAGAGCAATTATTTCCCAGGACTGGGGCTCATCTGGGGGTGAAGGGGAACTATTCATTGCATAGACTTTCTTTGGTCAGTGATCAGATGTTCTAAAATTGGTTTTAGTGATGGTTACACAACTTACTACATACTAAAGCACATTAAATTTTATACTGCTAATGGGTGAGTGCATTGTATGTGAATTCTATCTCAATAAGTTTTATACCTAAGAGAATATGCTGGCTAAGAGAAAACAACTAAAACAGTTTTTTAAAAATGCCTGGCATTAGATTCAGCTCATACAACTCCAGTTTGTGCTGACTCAAATAGATTCTAAGATCTTCTTCATCTGCAAGATTTTCATTTTGTAGCCAAGAAGCCTATCTAGAAAACAAAAAGCAAAATAAGTGAAGAAAAGAATTCATACTCAGTGTG